ACGTGGCTGTCTGATTCAGGAGGGAGGGAGGTCTGCTGGTAGGGGGAGGTGGGGGTGGAGGGGAGGAAGGGGAGGTGGGGGGAAGGGGGGTAAGACACATTGAGTTTGCCAAGTCAGGCAGAACGATCGACAGGAAGCCAGGCAGGAAGGAAGACGAGCCTCTCCCCATGAAGTGCCATTGTTTATGTGACGTGACTTGAAGCAGCCACAGTGACTGGTGGTGGGCTCTGCCTCTGACCCACTTCTCAGAGCGGCACGACACACTCCCACATGGAAGATATAAAAGTGGAACACATTTTTACTTTTTAAAATGTGCAATACAAACCTTGGACGAATGCATAATGAATTTGGTTATCTTACTACTTTAAATTGAGAGGAATTATTCCCTACTTTGCACATAATGACATATGTTAACAGTGTAAATATGGATCTGAAATATGTGTAAGTGTGTTGCACCAGATTACTCATAATTATGTGCAAGTCTTGTAAATATATATATATATTTTTATGTATGTCATTTTGTTTAAAGCAACTGATATCTGACTAAAATAAAAACGTTTTTTTTAATTTGCTAATTAATTTTACAATAACTTTTTTTGACTTGCGTTTCCTGTCTTATTATATTGTAAGGTCTACTGGTATATGAAGTTAAGATTTGGAAAAGTCCAGGTTCCTTTTAAAAAAAAAAATTCTGACCTTAACCAAACTAATTAAAGTATTTTCATATATTGACGTTTGCTTTACTTCTCCTCTCTTTCTGCTTATAAATATCAAGCATCTGTTAAATAAGTTAGGGTAACTTTACTAGAGCACTTTACTTACAAACGTTTTTGTGGGCCCGAACAACTAATAAGGCCTGTCTCTTTATATTTAGCAAACAAGCTTTGCTTTCCATAAGTGACATCCCATTGGTTCACATTGATCCCTGACTCTGTTATGTCCCGCCTCTTACTTCCTGTTTTATCTGGAAATACATCACATTCAGGAAATAGGATACTTTCAAAGCTGGAACATCACTGGAAATGTTAATACCATCAAACATTTCGATGCTACATTCACCATAAATATACAGCTAGTTCACTGAAGTTCTTTCCTGTAGTGTAAAGTTGTAAAGGACATGTACGTTTATGCAAACCTGAAAACCTCCTTCACCGAAAAACAGTGATTTTGCCAACCTGATTTTGGGTCTTTCCAGGGGTGTAACACCTGTTGATGATTTCAAAAATGGACACGGAATTGATTCAAGACATTACAATATTCCCAGTTCTTTGAAACGTTCAACATCCCAGAGACAGATTGGAGAGTGGTTTCTCCTGTGGAATTTCAAGTAAGCGCTGAAACACATTTTGATAGAGATGTGTGATGGTTTTGATTATGTTTATTACTGTGTGATTGCTCACTTTATTAATTAAGTTAGTTAGTTGCAGTGTTAAATTGTGGTTATTGTTTCCTACCTGTCTAGTGTAAGAAATGAAAATCAATGTTGATATGGCGTAATTTAAATTAAATACAGGGTTTTCATTTAAAGCTGTTTTATTCTGAAAACCCGGAAGTTCACACTAACTTAAAACTTAAAACTTTTATTCTGAAAATTCTTAATTTCCGGTTAGCATTAGCATGTGGCTAACGTTTTCAAACAGTGAATTCAAGGTGAAATTACATGTGGTGTTGTACACTAAACACACTGTCTTTAACTCTCACGTATTGACGCTGCAAAACGTTTATTAAGGAATGTTTAAATAACCACAGACATTAGAATGATGTAATTTAGCAACAGAAAACGGCAGGATTTGCATTGGACACGCCCCCGTCAACGCCGGCCAATAGGAGAAGACTACAGTTGATAACTCGTGATGGACAGGAAGAATCGATCTCTTTCACCCCAGCTGACCCACACGCAACAGGCAACAGTTGAACGGGGAGAGCGCCTCCAAGCAGAGTCTTATTTGTATATCATCGCATTATTTTGTTTGATTAAATGCTGTTAACGATTATTTATATAAGCTTCCTTGGACTCTTTTCAGTTTATCCTGGTCTCGGGGTTTTAAGAAATCCTAACACTAGATTGATTGTTTATTTGACTACTGGTGCGAATTCATGAATCTACATTGAAATTGAAACAACTATAATGCAAAAATAACACAGTTAGCTAAACATCTAATTTGGTCAAATTTGTCTCAGATAAAACACACACAAAACAAAACAAAACAAAAAACACAAACAACAGAAATAAGAAGGACATACATTATAAATCCCATTAGGAGAGAATCAGTTTTCACTCTATAGTACAAATACACACATGCTAGGATGCTAACACCAATACAGGTTAGGTCAGTAATACACACGCACAAACACATGCATGTTTATGGAGATATTAAAATCCAGTGTTCTGACAGTATTTCCATTGCAGAAGGGTGAGGCGGTTCACCTGACCTCCACCTGGTCTGCAGGAGAGAGATGTCTCCATCTGCTCACCACTCCACCTGAGGAATGTCTTCTGGTTTCGTGGAGCTCTTGGCCTCGCCGCTCCCGACTGATGATCAGCCAGATAGCATAACCTCCCGACCAATCAGACGCTCGCATCTGTACCTCATCCCGCAGGTAGGCTTTCCAACAGACGAGCCAGTAGAAAAAGAGCGTTGCTTTTATTGAGAGCCAACCAATGGGAGCGTGAAGATGTGATCCATCAGCGCTAAAACAGGGCCACCTGTGTTTCGTGGGGTGATGTTGAGTGGAGATAGCATAGAAGTGTGCATGTGGCTGTTATGATGAGTTTTCAATGCTTCTGCTTTTCTTTTGACAAACACAGATGTTGTTTTGCACCTACATGAAGCTGGTTCTATTGTGTTGAGTTTAAAGATGGTGTTGAAGCTGGTTTAGATGAATGTAGTGGTCAATAATCTCCTGCGACATCATGATTGAAATCCAAATGTTTTTCGGAAAATCTGAAATTCATGATTGAGAATTTTCAGAGGGTTTGAGGGGTTCGGTTCTCAAAAATACTTTTTTTTCTCAGCTTTCATAGGACATTTCTTGGCTCTAAGAAAGCAGTTAGAAATGTCAACTGTTGACAGCAATGTTTGTTGATTGTCATTATGGTCATTCCAATAAAGCTATTTGAATTGATTACTCATCTGAAAGGGTAAGGCAAGGCAAGGCAAGGCAAGTTTATTTATATAGCACTTTTCAACACAAGGCAATTCAAAGTGCTTTGGGTAGATAGGCAACTATGCCCACTATAGGCAAGTGACAAAATATGCTCAGTTTTTTTGTGATTCATTTGAAACAATCTTTTAATACATCCTTGTACTTTGCAAAAGGCACTCTCTCCTTGCAGTCGAGCGTATTTAAGCAAATATGCTCATTTTAGCTGGTTTGAGTCTACTAGTTTATTCTTCAGAAAGCGTGTTTTGTCTTGATAATTTGAGAAACATCCACTCCCCTGGTCTTTTCTTTCACTCCTTATATTGGTGCCCCCTTTCCATCTGGCACCTAAGCAGTATATAACACATCATAAAATAATTTGCTAATATTACTTGACCCAGGTCAGTCTTGCGAAACACTAACCCTTGCAGTTTGCTGTTAAATATTGGACTCTACTCTTTGGAACTGTAGTGAGAACCTCCCCTCCCTTTCTTTCACCACCTCCACCACCTCTCCTCCTCCTCCTCCTCCTCCTCCTCCTCCTCCTCCTCCTCCTCCTCTCTCCCTCGGTGTCCAGTGGGGACCAAACAGACGGCCTGTGTTTGTTTCCCCTCTGGTCTTTCCTGATTGCGCGACCAGGCAGATTCCGGTCCGCTCTAATCTAGCCGTTAGACAGCCACCGAATTAACGAGAAAGCCCATTTGACACACATGCTTCCACTTTTCTGTTTGTTGCCTCCCCCTCCCGAAGTCTGCTTGATTCATACAATTTCGCCTTCATTAGGCTGCATTTCAAGCTGCGGGGCACAGGTAATGCAAAGCATTTCCCTCCTTCAAATTGTAGGCCCTAGCTTCGGTTGCTAGGAAGTGGAAGAGCCTCAATTGCTGCCATTTCCTCGCCAGTGTACTGAGAGGTCCTATTACAGCGTTTAGGTCAGGGCAATTGGTGTCATTACAGGCAGCCAACTTCCCTCCACCAAAGTAATGAATTAGCCTGAGCTATTTGGGCTGTATGATTGCAGTTGCCAGGGGAGATGAGTATGAAGTGGGGGGATAATTATGGTATGTATCCCTGAGCGGATGTGTGCCGGTGTGGGCTAGCCACAGGGGCGGTTTCCACACTTATGTAATGGCTTAATGTAGCTGCTGACAGGCAGCCGGGCAACATGGAAAGGTGCTACTGTGCTCTGCTTGCAGACTGTGACTGACATGCCAAACCATGCCAACATATTTTAACCCCGCGGCTCATTTACTTTAAAAGGCTCGGTCCAATGTCCAAGAGCCATTTGTGCTCAGAAATGCCCATGAGGGATGAATAAAGCTGATTGAATATAATTGTTTACAGAACCCTTTTAAAGATCATGTGCATGGTAATAAAGTGAAACTTTCTATCAGTTAACTATAAATTGTGCTTAAACTTCATTAAGAGCTTCAGTTTTTTATTAGCTGTTGAGACAGGCAAGGAAACCATTAACTCTTGGAAACACTGATAAATTACCCCCACAATAAAACAATAGTGAACTTTGATTGCATGGCCCATTCATAAAAAGCAGTGAAAACAATAACCGGGAGGTGCTACTTAATTTACACCGACGATTCCTGCGGGGGGGGGGGCAAGGCCTGTAATGAAAGATATAAACATGCGGTTTATAGTCAGTGAGTTTTCATTTGAAGTTTTTCAAAACAATGCAACGAATACAACCTGAATAAACGAGCTTTGACTCATTTGTTAAAGAAAACAAGTAAGGGGGGGGTTTGCTTGTTTTCTCAATGGGAAGTCGAGCGCTGCAAAAGGAACCCTGCCAGAAAGAAGGCTTCACCAAACAAAGAGGCTGGTAGGAAATAATGCTGGTCGGGGCTTGTTGGGCCATCTATGGGCTTCTCTCCAAGCCGCTGTAACTAGCTATAAGTCTTTTTATGGGGACACCCAGGGGGCCCCGCCAAGGACAGGAACTTTTGCATTTCTGCTTGAATGGGACTTTTGCCAGGGGCTGAGTTCAAAGTGCACTTTCCAGTCATTTGATTTTACTACTCTGTGTATTTGATAGGCCGGGGGTGAAGTACAGGACCTGAAGTAATATTCCCCGATTTTCAGCCTTTTTTTAAGAGTCCAGTCTGAGGGGAAAACGGGACAAAACCTCGTAAAACTGTGGGACTCTGTCTCTATGTGTGCACACACACACACACACACACACACACACACACACACACACACACACACACACACACACACACACACACACACACACACACACACACACACACACACACACACACACACACACACACACAATCATTTCATTTCTGGCTCTCAAGCCTTCCCTCTGCTTTTCCTCTCCATCCTGCAGATCATATCTCATGTCACTGAGAGCAGAACAAAAAACCCAGCCTGATTATTTCTCAATACAAACCCCATGTGTCTCCTGCATCCATATGTCTGTCATTGCGTCTCCCACTGCAGCTGCTTTTTACCTCTTACCTTATGTATGGTAATAATTCCATGTTATTTAGTTTAAGTAATGTTATTAAATACATGTAAAAACCGTATAAGACATGTATTTTAGTTTTGGTTATAAACTCTGAAATCTACGTCTATCGGCTCAATTATTTCTCTTCCTGTTAGAGAGTGACTTTGCACACAAGTCCAACTTTATCTACAAAAACCCTTTGAAACCAAACCAAGTTTTATCCGTTCAAACAGCCTTCTCATATCACAAGCCCACCATGGTTTTGATCAACAGATGAAAGAAATGTGGTCGACTTAAAAAAAAGTTATTGCTTCACGCTGTGGCAAAGTTGCTGTATTTTTCTCTTTGTAGAACGGCCCATTTGCTTAGCAGTTGCATATCTTTCCAGCGATCAGCACTAAGCCAATCCTTCATCCTATCTGCTGCTGGTAAGCCACTGTTGGTGGTATTCTGCCAAATGGCACCAAAAACAAGGGACTCTGCACAATGCCACCTGGTGGTCCATGACTGCTTTGGAGCTTTGGCAGCAATGGAATAAAATTCACTACTTTCAAAAATAATCTAAGTTTTTCAAAAGCATTGTCTGCTGAGGAAATGCCCTTTTTTAATGTTTGAATGTTTTGTATGTATCTTTATTCATTGTTTTCTCCATAAAGCACAGCAATTATAGCGCGTAAAACATAGTCTTAGCTTCTTTCATTTTAATCTGAAGTTCACAGTAGACAACTATTGAATGAAGAATAATTTAACATGATTTAACATTATTAATACCCAAACATCTGGGACTAAAGTATACATTTTCTCTCTTTTGCTCAGTAAGTGATGCATGCTTGACAAAGTTTGATTCAACTTTTTTCAAACACAACTCAAAGCTGTTAACAGGAATACAAAATATACTTTAATTAATGTAGAAAAAACCTAAATATAATATAATTTAAAACTGAACTCAGTTCATATAATTTAAATTTGAACTCAAATCTTAGAAGAGTCATATCTCATTGTTAACACAAGACTGTTCCTCAGCATAGGACACAGCACATATCAGCATAGGACACAGCACATATCAGCATAGGACACAGCACATATCAGCATAGGACACAGCACATATCAGCATAGGACACAGCACATATCAGCATAGGACACAGCACATATCACAACACATATCAGCATAGGACACAACACATATCAGCATAGGACACAGCACATATCAGCATAGGACACAGCACATATCACAGCACATATCAGCATAGGACACAGCACATATCAGCATAGGACACAGCACATATCAGCATAGGACACAGCACATATCAGCATAGGACACAGCACATATCAGCATAGGACACAACACATATCAGCATAGGACACAGCACATATCAGCATAGGACACAGCACATATCAGCATAGGACACAGCACATATCAGCATAGGACACAGAACATATCAGCATAGGACACAACACAACATCATTGGTTAATTCATTGAAGAAGCACTCTAACAATTTAGTATTGCACTTCCATAGATGTGAGGGACTTATAAGATACCATAGCTTTATTCACAGATTCAGAACAGTGAAAATGGAGCAGAACAGTGCATGGGGAAAATAAATTGTCCAAATTGCAATCACAACTACATTTGAAATGTTTCTCTTTTGTATTACTTACTTCCATTTTGGCTGTTTTCCTCATTTCATTTCTTACAGATACAGTGCAATGCAGTTAATATGCAAATACTGACAAAACACTGAACATCCCATGGGTATAGCCTCTGATTATCTATATGATATCAGACTTAAATCAGGAGCAGGTTCAAAAGGTAGGTCCAAATATGTCTTGCCTTTTGTTTTGATCTCTGAACGGCAACAGATGGTTTGGACTATTTCCAAATTGCAAACAGAAAGACAATGGCCTGTCTGAACTTCCAATCACTGCACTCTCCCGTGTATGAGGCACAATTCAAGTTATGCTAAAAGAAACTGGCCAGATTAAAACAAA